TAATTGGTTTCGCAGCCGATATCGTCGTAGTTGTTGTAGTGAAATATTTCCAGGAGATTTAGAGTAAAGCTAGCGAGATTATAAAAAGTATAAAAAAGTGGTTAACGTCTAGGAGTTTAGGTGGATCAAAAAACAATAAGATTTAGTGTTGGCTCCGTATCCACCACATCCAACCAAGCTCGAAATCAAGTCTGAGCGTTAAGATTGATAGTCTGGAAAATTTTAAGACCCACCTCGGGTGTGCTTTCAAAAAGGCTTCGAGTGTTCGAGCATACCTGTCTATGTAGAATTATGCCAAATAATGGTGGTCTAAACATACAAGAAAAATCCCGGTAGACATTTTTGGACAAGAGATAAAGAGAATATATGTATGTGTGTATAGAATAACGATAAGTTAACATAAGATTTTCTTCTTATTTGGCGCTTTTGGACGAGTTCAACAAAGCAACCCACTTGTTTTTCTTCTCTGCCAACTGACGCCAATTGGAAATCCCAAATAAAGCCAAGTCCTTCTCCACTTCTCATTCCATCGCCTTGGGGGTCTCCCGCCGAGTAAACGAAATTCTCTATTTTCTCGAAATTATATTTATCAACTGAAGTGATTGCCGGGGCTTGAATGCGCTCATCGTTTGTTTGCTGATAGCAGATACTTCGTCTTGTCCTCGCTTTGCTTCCTTATTCAACTTGGAGCAGGCAGAAGTGGCTTCGCGGTTTTTGTTACCGATGATATCGATGTCGTCATCAGTTCTGCGGCTGTTAGTATCTTCTCCAACATCGGATTAAATAAATCACACGAATACCTCATATATGGTGGATTTGCCAAGTATAAATCCACATTGATAAGGTCCAAGCGATTCGTTGATGGTGGGCAAACAATACGCTCCATAGTTGGAACTTATGGCGGCATCGCCTTTATTGTGGATTGTTCAGAGCACACTTAATTCTAGTCATCGAGCATTCATTCATCTGCCCATATTTTGCATATGAGTTGATGCATGTTTCTTATCAGCTCCTCGCCGCCATACTTGAATAGCTCGGCTGGCAGGCCGTCAGCTCCAACAGATGTGTTGTTTTGGAGTGGAACATCGACTCCATCATCATCCACTCAGGTTGGTCTTCTCCACTACCTTCACTGCTGCTGCCATTCAGTAGAATGGAAAAGTGGACATTGGTTACCAGGTCGCCATGCTTATTTTTACAGGAGTTCGCTCTGATCTTGAAAGCTTCCGTAAGTCGCTTAACTTATCAGTTGTTCTTTCAGGCTAGCTAAAATTCGACTATTTCTTCGGCGGCGGTACTTAATGAACGGGAAATGTGATTTCACTGCTGGCATATGTCGGTTTGTTGAAGAGTGCTCTCTGAGATCAGGTGCGATAGTCGAGTAGCGAATACTCTGTTGTAACTGCAGCTTTACAACATTAAGCCTTCTGGCATTTTTGGCGCACATTTTTTGCTGCACAGAGGCAGTGGCGTATCTTGTCTGCAACAACAAAATGGTCCGAGTCGATGTTTGGGCCTCAGAGTGTATGTACGTCTAAAACACTGGAAGCGTGCCTTCCGTCTGTCACAACATGATCGCCTTGTCTTTTTGTTTTTCGATCTGGAGGCAGCCAAGTAGTTTGATGGATCTTTTTGTACGTGAACCTAGTACCATGTGGAGGTTGAATTTTCCGACAGTGGCGCCAAAAATCCTTTCCGCCTTGTTCTTCTCTTCCGTCGGGCATGGGCGCAGAATAATCTCGGATTGTTGCGAGACGCTCGTCCACAGGGTTGAATGACAGAACCCCGAGGCGGAGTCTCCCACCACAAATCCAACACCGAATTTGAGCCCTTTTACATGGCAGCTATAGTAGGCGTCGCAATTCCCCAGAAATTGTTTGCCTTGCCCCGTCCAACACATTTCTTGGATAGCGGTTATGTCAGCTTTTGTCCTTACGAGAACACCAACCAGCTGGGCAGAGGCACCTTCCCCATTAAGATGCCGGACATTCTAGGTGCATGCGCTCAAATCGTAGTCCATTAAACGTTTCCCGTTTTCGTCATCACAAGGAGGGGTCCCATCGGAGGTTTGTTCTTATTTTTCATTGGAGCTTGTTTTTACGTGGCGGAAAGAGATCTTTTTGACATAATTTACACTGGGTTTTTGTTTATTAAACTAATCAAATATTTCAGGGCAGATATCGTCAGAGTTGCAAGAGCATGGGACTTAAGAATAACTTTGACCCCTTTTAAGAAATATATGGATATAATTGTTGAATGAATATATCAGCGCCATTTCGGCTCACAAATAAGGAACAGTAAAAGTTAAATGAAATATTTGGCGTTCACATTGTTGCTAAGTTTTAACCGAGCTTCTCGGCTACAGCGAACGCCAGCCTTCCTTGAGGCACCAGAAAAAGAATTGTCGAAATCGGTTATGCGGTAACATATGCACATAAAAAAAAGTATTCCGACAAATAGATAACCTCCTCCTTTTTTGACATCGGCTAAAAATAATGAAAAGATTATGATTTTGGTGTAAAGACGAAGTCACATTTTAAAATTTGTTCGCAATTAAGGTAACTATCAAATTTGTATTTTATCTCTTCTAACGGGTGATTTTTTAAGAGCTTGATACCTTTTTTTTTAAAAAAAACGCATAAAATTTGCAAAATCTCATCGGTTCTTTATTTGAAACGTTAGATTGGTCCATGACATTTACTTTTTGAAGATAATTTCATTTAAATGTTGACCGCGGCTGCGTCTTAGGTGGTCCATTCGGAAAGTCCAATTTTGGGCAACTTTTTCGAGCATTTCGGCCGGAATAGCCCGAATTTCTTCGGAAATGTTGTCTTCCAAAGCTGGAATAGTTGCTGGCTTATTTCTGTAGACTTTAGACTTGACGTAGCCCCACAAAAAATAGTCTAAAGGCGTCAAATCGCATGATCTTGGTGGCCAACTTACCGGTCCATTTCTTGAGATGAATTGTTCTCCGAAGTTTTCCCTCAAAATGGCCATAGAATCGCGAGCTGTGTGGCATGTAGCGCCATCTTGTTGAAACCACATGTCAACCAAGTTCAGTTCTTCCATTTTTGGCAACAAAAAGTTTGTTAGCATCGAACGATAGCGATCGCCATTCACCGTAACGTTGCGTCCAACAGCATCTTTGAAAAAATACGGTCCAATGATTCCACCAGCGTACAAACCACACCAAACAGTGCATTTTTCGGGATGCATGGGCAGTTCTTGAACGGCTTCTGGTTGCTCTTCACTCCAAATGCGGCAATTTTGCTTATTTACGAAGCCATTCAACCAGAAATGAGCCTCATCGCTGAACAAAATTTGTCGATAAAAAAGCGGATTTTCTGCCAACTTTTCTAGGTAATAAAATTCAATGATTTGCAAGCGTTGCTCGTTAGTAAGTCTATTCATGATGAAATGTCAAAGCATACTGAGCATCTTTCTCTTTGACACCATGTCTGAAATCCCACGTGATCTGTCAAATACTAATGCATGAAAATCCTAACCTCAAAAAAATCACCCGTTATAAGTTCATAATAAACTTTGTGCAATATAAATGTAGGGCTCGGTACAACTAAATTGTTACAATAACAAGTAATTTTTAAGCAAAAAACACAACCGACTTCAATTCTCATTTAAAAACTTAGAAGTACCGTTGATTTCTTCATGATCCAATGATCTTTTCTAAACCAGATTAGTATGGCACCTCCTTTTGACACACCAGAAAAAGAATTATCGAAATCGGTTAATGTGGTTCAAAGTTATGCGGTAACATACATAAAAAAAAATATTCCGATGAATTGATAGCCTCCTCCTTTTTGAATTCGGTTAAAAAGAGAAAAATTAATGAGGTAAATTACTATAAATTTTTAATAGCTATCTTTTAATATTTCTAATAAAATTTATATTAAAAAAATCTCAGCCCCCCCGTAAATTATGCTCTGCGTACGCCCATGCTAACAGGGCTTTTGCAAATATGTAGCTCGGCTATCTATTCATAGATGTTTTGTAAGAATACTTTGTCTTTTATACGTGTTTCTAACAAATATTCTGAATATGAATCAAATAAAAACATAAAAACAATGCACATAATTTGGCTCAAGCATCACATATTCAGTCTAATTATATTACTACTACTAAGACTTTTAGGAGGAGAAAAGTTATTAACACATATACCCCGGAATTTCGTGTAGAAATTAGATACTAATGCATGATATTTCCACTATAACATGCACACATATTTTTTATTTTAAAGGATTAGCCAAGAAGTGAGTTTAATCCACAAAATATTTTATTCATGGCATTAACCTGTGCAGTAAGAAATAGAACAAGCAGCCGGCGGCGATTTTACCTCAAATATAAACAAAGCTAATTCTACGTACATAGTACATTTTACTAAATATATATGTATACATAAGTAAGCAACCAATTTCAATCAGTACCCTGACGGAAACAAGTGATTTTGTTTTTTTTAATCAACTAATTGAAGGACTACTTTAAAACAAATTCAATGAGTAAATGTTTCGAATCTCGATACTTTTTTTATACAAATAAACAATTTGTGTCTTGGAAGTATGAAAAAGCATCTGTGAAGTGCAGAACGCCAACGTTTTCAAAAGAAACATACTGACTTTGAAGTTGTGTAAACGCAGTTCATTTTAAAGTAGTTGAAATTAAATGCAGAGTCGGACAGTCGACTTGCTGCTTGCACACAATTCAAACTGAACATTTTAAAGCACATTTAAATGTATGGCTGTAGCTGAGCGTGCAAAGATGTTTGCTACAATTGGTTGCGGCCATGAGTGTCCATGTTCAAATCTCATTAGGCGAAACATTTAATTTTAAACTTTTAATTTCGGGCTTTCTTAATTATGAAAAAGCATCTGTGAAGTGCAGTACGAAAGCGAATTCAAACGACTGACCTTAAAGTTGTTTAATCCAAATGCATTTTAAATTAGTTGAATTACATGCAGGAAAAGGTAGTTGACCATTTTAAATACATGAGTTCGTTGCAGGTAAAACAGTGAGAATTGCAATTAGTTATCATTGAAAAAAAGTAGTTTATAAATTACTTTTAAATTAATTAATTTTCGTGCAGGGTACATATAAAGAATCACATATGTAAGCATATTGTACTAGATATTCTAAGCGTCTGGAGCGTGCTTTCAATAGATTATTTTAGTTACATGCATATACGTATACGCATAAGGGAAGCGCATTTATTATACATATTTACATATATATACATTTGCATATAATAAGCCATAAAATTGACGAAATAATATAAATACACTAAAAAATAAGAGTATGTAAGAGTAATAAATATGTATGTATGTACATCATTATTTGATGAAGACAGTGGAAGATATGTGAGTCGATAATGAATTATGGATTAAATTTTTGGCATGGAGCTATCTATGCCATTGCTTAAAAGAAAGAAAATAGTAAATATGTAAAAACTATAGCAAGATTTGAGTCTGCTATATTACGGCTCATGGCTGTTATACATTTTGAATTATGCTTTACTCTTTAGTTTTTCTTGCTTGTAATAAGATAATATATGTAGGTTTATATGAACAATATAATATGTAACTCGTATGAACGTAATAAATTCTTAAATACCCTGCAGAAAAAAGTTATCAATTGATAAAAAATAACCTACTTACAGTTACATAGCTATTCTGTGGGATTTCTATAAAATATATTACTTTTAGTTAACTACAAAAAGCTAACATGAAACTTGGTGAAGACTAATGCAGGACTCATGTA